TAATATTAGTTAGCATTATAATATTATTAGTATATATATATTATATATATAATATATACTAATAATATTATATATATAATATTAGTTAGTATTATAATATTTAATAATAATTAATATATATATATATATATATATAAATTATTATTAAATATTATAATACTAACTAATATTATATATATAATATATATATACATATAATATATATATATTATATATATAATATATATAATATATATATTATATTATATTAATTATTATGAAATATTATAATAATATATACTAATAATATTTTAATACTAACTATATATATAATATTGAAACGATAAAAGAGGACAAGCGAAATAAGTTACAACCGAAGCGCGTAGATTAGTTAGCGTTGGACTGTTAATTAACTTCGCAACAAGTTAACTCGATTATAAGTTAACTTAGTCATAAAATGGGTTAGCAAACATTACACTTGTTAGCAAACGATGGAAATTGTGACTTACACCGCTGCGAACTTTCATCCCCTCAATTAATGAGAATGTTGGAGCGAAATTTATGGTACTAGAACTAGATAGCGTCGCGTAAACAAATTTGAATAACCTATTTTCAACATAATCTGACAGATTTCGGTTCTGCAATAGAAATTACATTTAATTCCAGCGACGATGCAAGCTTCTAACGAACCGCTGCTCGTGCATAATGAATCTGACCCAATCTGCCCTCTTTATTTTTATTATTAGCCGTGCTATTATGAGTTTTTATTATCGGGTTATTATTAAAGCGAGTTTATTCTTACGAGGTAACGCGTTAATATCGAAGTAATTAGGGACCGCTCAATTTTGCACGATCTCCTGGAGACGGCGTTATATCGAATCGATTTTCATTTCGTTACGCGGGCTAGCTGACAGCCGGGGAAAATTAACTTTCGTTGCTAATCATTTCCCGGGACGAGAGAGCGCGTGTGTTATTTATGTTGTTAAATACCCGTGCACAGATTTCAAGGTAACGGAAGCCGATGCCATCGTGTCGACGCAGCTCTTGTAACGGATTATGATTAATTCGTCGAATTAATCGTCGCCGGCGATCGATTCCCGGCCACGATGACACCGAATTTCCAGATTTGGCCCCCGCGCTGCGGCTTGATTGATTATCGGAAAAGCATTAGCAAGTATTATTGAAGAGGCCAACAACACAGGATCGCGACGATTAATCCTGGCCGCGGCGCGGCGGCGTCATTATTCTGAGAATTTATCTGCGATATACCTGCAGGATGGATACATAGGACGTGTACACACGTCGGATATTGATTTCGTAACGAAGGGATAAATCTAGGGTTCATCGTGGCCGCATTCGATTGTGCCGCGGATTCTAGTACAATTACAAATTCGTCGAACGACGATCTCTCCGTTACAATTCTCCGGAATACACAATGACCCTATGATCTCGTCGGCTCGTCGGATATGTTCATTCATCCAATTAGTACCGCTTCGTATATACAAAGCAAACATAAGCAGAATCTCTACAACCGTTCGAGCAGCTCAATCATTAGGTATAGCGCGGCATAACAATATTTTATACACCCTTTTTGAGAAAATTACTTTTTCTGGAATTGTATTTACTTTACTGGAATTATATAACTTTTTCTAATACTATTACTCACTATAACTTTTTCATATATGCTCCACAACGAGAAATTATGAATACGCTTTAATGAGAAATTACGAATACGCTTTAGCTGGACATTTGTTGGATGAACTATTAGATGAGCTGACTATTGGATGAACTAATTATCTATTTATTATCAAGCATATCTTATATTGTAAGCTGTATAAGATCTAAGAAAATTTAATCTCGTGATTTATACGATGTAACGGTCTTCTGGGTGCTCGGCGAGTTCAGTGTTAATTCAAGTTTATGACGTTATTATCGTTTTATTAGCCAGGCTTTTGTTACGATTACCTCAGTATTTGCTGTAGGATTAAATTTATTAGCATTACTTTGTCATGAATATTCATTCGAGATCGTCATTTACCCGCTGTACCAGGTCTACAGATTATGGAGATTGCAATTTAATAACGGTGGCTGTATTCCACTTTATCTTTGTAGAACGGCGAATAGTACAATAATAGCAAT